TTTTTTTTTTTTTTTTTTTTTTTTTTTTTTTTTTTTATATATATATATATATATAAATAAATCATATATTTCTTTTGCTTTAGTTATTATTTATTTGTTTATTTATTTATTTATTTACTTTTATTTATCTATTTATTTACTTGTGTTTTTCTTCTTTTGTTTTGTTTATTTATTTGTGTTTTTGTTTGTTTGTATCTTCTTTTGTTTTCTTTATTTCTTTTTATATTTTTTTTTCTTTTGTCTCTCTCTTTCTTTTTTTCTCTTTGCTTGCTTCTCCTTTTATTTTTATTATTTTTTTTTGTCTCCTTTTGTTGTTTTTCTTTATTTGTTTTTATCTTCTCTCCATGTCTCTCTTTATTTGTTTATTTTTGTCTCCTTTTGTTTTTTCTCTTTTTTGTTTTTTTTATTTCCTTTTATTTATATTTGTTTTATCTCTGTTGCTGCTGTTGCTGCTGTTGCTGCTGCTGCTGCTGTTGCTGTTTTTACATCTCCTTTATCGTTTGTGTTGCTGTTGCTGCTGCTGCTGCTGCTGCTGCTGCTGCTGCTGCTGCTGCTGCTGTTGCTGCGATTCAGGTGTATCTGCTTCTATCATATCAGATATAAATAATTTGTTATTAGTGCTCCGCCTCCTTGGCTTTCTGTCTCCTTCTTCTTCTTCTGTCTCCTCTTCTGTCTCTCCCCCTGTCTCTTCTCCTTCTGTCTCCTCTCCGTCTCCTTCTGTCTCCTCCTCTTCTCTTCCTGTCTCCTCTCCTTCTGTCTCTTCTCCTTCTGTCTCCTCCTCTTCTCCTTCTCTGTCTCCTTCTTTGTCTGTCTCTTCTCCTTCTCTGTCTGTCTCCTCTCCATCTGTCTCTTCTCTGTCTCCTTCTCTGTCTCCTTCTTTGTCTGTCTCCTCTCGTTCTTTATTTATGGATAAACTGTGCGGAGAAATAAAAAAAGAGTTATTAGCGGAATGTAATTACGAGAATGAAACTTGTTTTTATTTTCTTTTTTCTCTTCTTCTTCCTCGATACTACAACTATAAAAATATAAATATAAATAAAAATATAAATATAAATATAAATAAATATATAAATATAAATAAAAATAAAAATAAAAATTATTCTCTTATTAATACACCCACTGTATTT